AACTGAATGTTCAACGTGTGCGATCAAACAAGGAAGTCCAAAGGCATAATTAATTCAACAGGCAAGTCTCACAATATGGGATGAAGCGTGTATGATGAATAAATTTGCTTTTGAGGCGTTAGATCGCACCTTGAGAGATATTATGCGGTTCTCCAATAAAAATGCTGCAAATGAACCTTTCGGTGGAAAAACGGTAGTGCTCGGAGGTGACTTCCGTCAAATACTTCCAGTTATACCAAGAGCTTCAAGAGAAGAAATCGTGGAAGCTACCGTGAATTCTTCGACTTTGTGGTCGTATTGTAAAGTATTTACATTGACTAAGAATATGAGATTGCATTTATCTTCATCCAGCCACGCAAACCATGACACAGAACTTTTTTCAGAGTGGATAATAAAGATTGGAGATGGATAGCTTGGCGTGGTTAATGATGGAATTGGTGAAATTGAAATTCCACATGAATCCTTGATCCTGAACTCAAGTTCTCCACTTCAGAGTATAGTGGAATTCACGTATCCAGACTTATTGGAAAATATGAAAGATTATACCTTTTTTATGGATAGAGCTTTATTAGCACCCACACTTGAAGTTGTTGAAATGATCAATGATTTTGTTTTGTCTCTAATTCCTGGAGATGAAAAAGAGTATTTGAGCTCTGATTCTTCGTGTCAAGCAGATGCAGATATAGGCATAGATGGTGATTGGGTAACGACTGAGTTTTTGAACGATATCAAGTGTTCTGGGGTTCCAAACCACAGAATTGTTTTGAAGAAAGGAGTACCAATTATGTTGTTAAGAAACATTGATCAAACATCTGGGTTGTGTAATGGTACAAGACTAATAGTTGAAGAGTTGCGAAGAAACGTTATCGGTGCAATTGTTGTATCAGGAAATAATGCCGGTGAGAAAGTTTACATACCAAGATTGAATTTGGTACCGTCAGATCCTGGATTGCCGTTTAAGTTTCAAAGAAGACAATTTTCAATATCTTTATGTTTTGCCATGACAATAAATAAGAGTCAAGGCCAAACATTGTCATTTGTTGGATTATTCTTGACCAAATCGGTATTCACTCACGGTCAACTTTATGTTGCAGTTTCACGAGTGAAAACCAAGAAAGGATTGAAAGTGTTAGTTTAAGATGACAGTGGTAACCCTAGCAATTGCACCAAGAATGTGGTTTACCCTGAAGTTTTTCAAAAAAATTGGATTTAATTAATACATTTATACGTTTGATTCCAATTTTGTTTCCCATTAAATTTAGTTATCATACTCTGTTTGTGTTGTATCATTTATTAAAATTCTAACATTCTCTATTATATTTATCTTCATTTTTTAATTATGTACTTAAAACAAACATTTAAAAGAGTTAAAAATAACATGTGTTCGACCCGTGCGTTGCACGGGTTAAGTTTATTATTTTGTTCTTGAACGCTTTGATTTAAAATTAGTAATAGAATTGAAAAGTTCAAACAAATTTCAAAAAGGGGCTCTTGATAAGTTTTTTTAACAGCTCTACTTTTTTTACAAGAAATGAGAATCAAACTCTTGAAGCTATGGAAATTGAGAGTGTTGATATTATTGATGTTTTATTTGGTGTTAATGAAACAATTGAAATTAAGAACTTTGATAATATTGATGAAAATATTAAAATTGGTTATGTATTTCTTCTATTTCTTTATTGTTTTATTAGAAAGCCTCAGGAAAGGCCTCTATAACTTCCCGTTGGTCAATTTTCTTGCAGTTAACGTCCATAAGAAGATTTTCTGCAATTTCTATGTTCGATGTTAGGAGAGTGTCACTTGAGCAGAGCTATGGTTAGAAAATAGCTTTGTTAGTTCTTAATTGTGTCTTCTGTTCTATTATGTGTTGTAATTTTCTTTAATGTTTTTTTTATTATAACTAAAAGGACCACGAGAAAAGAGACGACCATACGTCAAAGGAGGTAAACCTTGCTAGATGATGGTGCTATGGTTCAAACTAATTAAAAAGTATTCTTTCTGTTTTGAATTGTCACTAATTAGGGTTCCTCGAGGAAGCAAACAACCATGACAATAGGGGAATATCATATTCGTGGGAGACCTTGGCAGCAAAGAGGGTAATCTTTCTAGATGATGGTTCAATGGCTTGACTATATAAAATGTATCAAATCTATTGAAGAATTGTATTTTCATTGTATTTTCATTGATTAATTATGTGAGGAGTACATGTATATATATACAACATCTCAATCCTAGTTATGGTAGGAGAGGTATTCTAGGAAAGCTATACAAGTATGGAAACAAATCATAATACAATAGTATTAAATATATTTAATATATTTAACATGCTCCCTATAACACCCGCCTTCCGTGGACCTGGTTCACCCGCGACCCAACGGACCGGTAGGGTTACCTGGGCGGTCCGAGAACCGTCCGTTACAAAACATTAGTGATTATTTAATGTGAAAACGGTTACGTTTGATTGATGGGATATTAATGACTATTTATTATGAAAACGTTTGTGTTTAATTGGTGTAGTAAATGTTAGGATAATTATCCAAAACGTGAGTGATATAAATGCAGAGTAAAAGCGGAAGTAAATAAATGAGTAAAACGACAAATGGTGGGTTCATGCCCAAATGATTAATTAATTAAATGTGTTCAATTATTGAACTTGTCCATGCGCCGCCCATCTTCCCACCATCACTGTCCTCTAGGGTTGGCACCCGCACCGCCATGTCTACCTGCGTGTAGCAAAGACAACTACACGCTCAGCAAAAGCTGAGGAGTGAATTTAACAAAAGAACATTAAGTGATAACCCATATGGCTATACACATATTAATACCTGTACTTAACGTACGGTAAACCTCATGTTACTAACTGATTAATTTACACCTGTTGGAATACCATTGCGTATAACAAAATGATGTACTACCACATTGAATATGAACTTGATGGGAAACAAAAATGATGATGACAACCACACTGAATGTTGACGCGACATGGAACATACTTGATGACTATATGACTTGATGTATGACTTATGCTATTAGGGACACCCCTGACTTAGTCTCACTTGACAGGATCACCCCTGCACTCCGGTAATGACCCGGGCTCGACAACGTCGCAAGTGAACTAGCAAAACCGGGTGGTAGCCGTAGCCTGACTACCATGTACGTACACAAAGCCCACTTGATGAAAACCCGTTGGATCCCGAGGGTTCCTGGACGGGCCCGCTGTAGTAGGCACACAAAGTCCTCCCTACAACGGTATGCACATGATGAGAACCTAAGACATGCGTCTAGGATGAACATGATGAATACATGTGTTCAGATTGGACATGATGAATGCTTGATGCCAATAATATATCATATAAATAACATACATGATGAAGATTAACATTTTATGCAAACACACAATCAGATTCTGATTCAAAATGGTCAACGGGGCTCGTTCTACAAACTGTCCGAAATTCTGCCCGCGAAACGGTCGACCGTTCCCTACCGGCGGTCGACCGTGGGTTGCGTTGTGGGGGGGTCTGGTATGCCGACGGTCCACCTCGGTCTTCCGTCGTGGCCGGCGGTCGACCGTCACGGTGGTAGCCGACGGACGGTCAAGGGAAACGGTCCACCGTCCTTGGCGGCGGTCGACCGTCTCGTAGAAAGTCTATTGACTTTGGCTTCGTTTTGATCCGTTTTGTGAACTTAATGCCTTGATTCTTTTTAAAACAATAATGTAAATATTTATGAATATATTCCTAGTGATTCCGAGGCTATTATGTATAAGTTTTACGTGGTGAACATTTGGATGGCTAACCTACGAACATGCATAGATTCTACGTAGGTTGCGTAAGATATTCCTATGAATATAACAACATAGATTATAACTTGATGTTCTAGAATTAGAGGGAACAAATACTCACCTCTAAATGATGTGTTGAAACTACGAATGGATGATGATGAACGAATAAATGAATGAACGGTTGAACGACGAACAATGTACGACTTCTCGTGTGAGCTTCTCCTCTTCTACCTCCCCGTCTACTTGCCGGAAAACCTTCTGGAGCTGCTAAGGCCTGGCCGAACATGCGAGGGGAGAGGAAGAGATGGGTGTTATGGTTTGGGGAGGTTACACATGATGAGAGAAATGAAGGGGAAGAGGAGTTTTATAACCATGAGGAGTT